TTTACATAAAACGTTACGGTAACTAACAGAGAAAAAAATGTGACAATGAGTGTGTATATGTCCATGTATGACTGAAAGATTGTGCTGAACACTGGAATTTGACACAACATTGTAAAATGATTATAAATCAATAAAAAATGTTTAAAAAAAAGAGACTCTTTTCCTAGTAACTCAGTATTCTTAGAGCAGCTACTGAGAGAATTAACACAGCTGTCAGTGGGGAGAAAACTTGAGAGCACAGATGAGGAAAAATTAAAGGAGTGGAAAGAGAAGAGACAAAACTAGCATCTCTCCTCTCCCATGCTCCAAAGGACCTGTAACTGTTCTCTACGCCAGTGTTTCCAGGCAGAATAGTCATCTGTGTACATGCCTCTTTTCCTCATCGGAACTTAAGCTCCTTGAGGGCAGATATGCACAGTCGTTGGCACAGGCCCTGGCACTTAGAAGACTCAATAACTGTGAATAAATGAGTAAGCAGTACTTGAAACTAAAGTATCTTCCTTTTATTTTAGGGATGAAATCAAATCACATATTTGCAAACCAGCAGTTATTTGTATAATTGCCTTGGTGTGAAGGAGGAAAATTAATGTTTTTGAGGTATAAGATGAATAATTACATGGAGATCTGACACTATAAAGAAACTAAGGACTCCCCTGTTTGTTGGCACTCTCTTAAGTTAAAAGAACTTGAGTAGTTTGATACTTCATTTGGACCTTAAAAATATTCCTTCAATTGTCACCATATATCTTGCTTATAACTGTCATGACCCCTTTTGGAATCATCTATGCACCCCTGGTCACCACTTTCCCAACATTAGGCATCTTCAAAAACAAGATGCTGATATGTCAACAGAAAGGCTAAGCAGTAGGAAATGTTGGCATCTCCACCATTGTCTTGTGGATGATTAATTATGCAGTATTACTGGCAGCAAGAGCAACTGAGAGGAGACTAAAAATGTTGTTAAATTTGGGACCTCATAAAATCTTTGGGAAAACTTTTCTCTAAGTCTCTCTTTGAATGAAGGAAGAACGGAACCAGAAGTTAGCAGAAAAATCCCATCACATTCTTAAATAAAGCTAAGAAGGAAGTCGAGTGTCTGCTGTGAGGCGTGCATGGTATAGGCACTTCTAATCTAGTAGAAAATGAATAGATACTATATTATCTAAACAGCACTTTACAACTTACAAAGTTTTATCACCTTTGACCTCATTAGTCAGAAAAGGCAAATATATAACCCCAAATTTTAGGTAAGATTTAAAGAAGCTAAGTGAAGTGAAATGACTTGCCCAAGTGGCAGAACTTAGGACTAGAATGTAGCTTTTTTTAATTCTAAAATCTATGCAAGTATTTTAAAAACCCAGAAAAACAGGATTTATCGTTAATGGAAAATTCTGTTGACTGATGGAGACTCTCTAGAGCTCTGTGTTAAGAAGGATCTTAAGTCAAGCCCTGACTCAATGGAAAAGACTGCTGTGATTGATTATTAATGTCTGCCCTGGACAAAAAATAAAGAGTGGTAAAATGTTGATCATTCTCTTGCCATTTTCCCATGTTAAGGTCTACAAATATGCATGTAACACTGATTATAAGATCACTAATTAATGGAAGGTAAGAATTACTTACAGCTATAGAGAATTAGAAGCAACTATTTATTACAGAAGCCCTTTCCTATCCTAATAGACCAGACAGGACTTTACTGATGGCACTGGCCTCAAGGTAATACCCAGAGATGACCAGAGAGAGAGTAGGAAAAGAAGTTATTCCCAGGAAGTGGGCTATGCCCTGGAAGACTGTTCCTCTTTATTAGACAAAGCAGGCTATCCATATCTAACTGAAATGAAAGAAATCTTCCATCCAGTTTACAGAGTTTAAAATATTTGCATAATTCCAATGACTTTAAGAGCAGTGAAGTTTAAAGAGTATTATAACCTTTCATATACATCATTTCCTCCTAAATAAAGTATCTTTATTTTTCTTTCTCATAAGAACAAACAGATTTGCCATTTGAATGATGGAGGTTTTTTCCCAAATATAAGACAAGTAATTATCTTCAGGTAAAGAAGAGATTTGCCTCATTTAGGAGGCCAAATAAATGGGCTTGACAAACAGCAGAAAGGCATTGTAGGAATGTAATAAGGTAATTGTTAACTAAATATGCAGGAAAAAATCCATGCCTTAAAATGTTGCATCAGCTATTAGCAAACTTTTGGCCTCTTATTTCATATTAGATTCTTTTCCATGTGCTTCTGTCTCTTTTTCTCTGAATCATCTTGCTGCCCAATACCATTCTTCTGGCTGAAAAGGCACAGATACAAAGAGCTTTCGGTGCCCAATGCATTTCGAATCCATCCTCATTTTCAAAGCCTAATTCTGTGTGGAGAGGTGTAATTTCAATTCAATTTTAGGGTAATTTTAATAGAACATTTGCAAAATACAATTCTTGCATCTCGTAATTCAAATCTGCTTACTCCAAATAGGCTTCTCCACGGACACACATCCACCATGCATCAAATGCTAATACACTTGGTTTACTTGGGATGAGAGTATGGAAGCAAAAAGGAGTAAAGCCTATGGGAAGAAGGCCAAGGTGGGATTTCACGAAGCTATCAGTTAACAATACTAGAAGACCTTGAATTTTTACAAAATTATATGTTGTTAAAACTAGCACATCTGTTATCTAATCTTTCCATTCTCTTCTCCATTGGGCAACTTCAGGCTCAAACAAGCTGCCTCGGGCAATATATCCACATTTGAATGGGGAGATGCCATTGGCAAATTTCATTATGAAATGTGGTAAAAAGTAAACTGAAGTTAAAAAGGACCTTTTCTCAATCCCCATCAGATATGCCTTCTAGTACTGCCACCTGCTTCCTTTCCTCATTTCCAATGATTAGGTGGTTGGATTTTTTTCACTACTTATTTTGCCTATATTTTTTTATATCTCTCCTCTTTCATAAGCCCCCTCTTTAAATTATTTTAAGCAGTGGAGTAGAAGAAATTCTAGCGTGCACAAAAATGTTTACTTTCCTTTCACTGCAGAAAAAAATAAGCTTAAGAACTATAATCACATTCGGTGGCTGTTACCACATCAGGAAACATAACGTATACATTGACTTTTATATCATTACTATCTGTATTTTATATAAAGCTTCTCTCTTTTTCTCATTCCGTGGGTATGTAAAGTGTATACCATATTTACAACTCTTGGTCTTCTATTAAAAACTATCCAGCTAATCAATCTGCATGTTTATATTTCTTTTCTGTCCACACAAACTTAAATGTATGGCTTTAAAGAGATTTATACCTTCCAAGTGGCAACTAGTACAAGAGAGAGGCTGTCACAATAACTCTTTTTCCTAAAATAGTCTCCTAATTTGATTCCTTAACTCGAGTTTCTCACCTCTCCAAAACATTTTTATGCTGTTGCCAAAGTTAACTTTCTGAAATAACTAACTCTTCCGATCCTCTGCTACTCATATCAAGCTTGCAATATATCATCACTGTTTTGCAACTGAGCGGGACCCTCCGGGGCCTTTCCGGGACAAACCCCCACCTCACCCCCATGTCCTCTGCCTCTCACTTGTTTGTAGAAAAGCTATAGTCTCCCAGGCCTTCCCTGAGTCACAAAAACCTGGCTCAAGAATTAATGATTGAAAGGATGCAAACTTGTAACAACAAACATAGCAGTTGGGCCAGGAGAACTGGCAAGGATTTAAACAGTAAATCAGTCACAGAATCTTGAGCTCCTCTCTGAAGTAACCAGATGACAGTACCTGATGCAGGCACACTTCCTGAACTGCTTTACAGATGCTAAGAGTCCCACCAAATGGAAAAAGTGGACTATACTTAATGACCATGGTCACCGTAGCCCCCAGACCTGCCAGAGCCAGAGGACTGATGATGTTCAATTAACCTCTGGGACACTGCCGTGTTACCTCACCATCAGCCAACCAGAGAAGTGTGCACGAGCTGATCACATATACTGAGGCTCCCCTCCTTCATCTCACCTTTAACGACGCTTCCCTGAGACCCACGAGGAGTTTAGCTGCCTCGAACCCTTTTGCGCCTTTCAATAAATTCTGCCTTTTCCTTCACCACAACTCAGTGTCAGTAGATTGGTTTTACTGCACGTGGATGAGCAGACCTAAGTTTGGTTCAGTAACAGTTTCGAGATTTCCCATGGTGAAAATCTTTCAGGATTTAACAATGGACCCATCATTATCCACAAAGCAAACCTTAACCTCCATTCCTTTGCTCATGGTGGCCCTTCTTTAACTTAGTATTCCCTCCCTGCCCCCATGTATTCTTTGCTTATTGGAATATATTGTTACCTTAAAGACCCAGCTCATCTGTGACCTCTTCTTTGGAAGCCATCCATGGTGAAATATAACCACAAATATTTCCTCCTTTATGTTTCCAGAACATGTTATTTTCCATTTATTTAGCATGTATATCACTGTCTCACATCAAAGGTAACTGTTTCTTTTCTAACTTACTTTATTAGATTATATGGTCCTTAGGAACCAACACTGAGGTTTATTCTAATCTCCCAATAGTCCCCTATCACCAACATTCAGCATAAATAAATTCTTTATAAATAAACGTTGCTTTAAGTTTAATTTCCAAAACTCACTAACATAAATGAGTAATTTTAGTATAATTTAGCCCTCATTATCTGTAGCAGCTTTTATGATTATCTCTCCCCAGGTCACTGACATCTCATTCCATTTCTCTCTGACATCTTGATCTAGGTCTAGAAATCTGGCCTCCAGTGTGTTACCTTTTCACCTGATCAATTCTATGACTATAATTATTTAACTAATTATTGATTATTCACTAGTCTCTGTCTTTGTGCATTTAATAGCTTGTTCTGTTGATATGTGTTTGATTACTACTTCTGCAGCAAGCATTTAAATACACTGACAAAGAAAAATAGGAAAAGATGCAATCTACGGCAAAATGACTTTATACTGTCTTCCTGAAATGCATTTTATTTCATTGATAATTTTCTTTTAGAGTAAGTCTGATTAATGTACACTGTCCTTCATATTCTTTAAAAATAGCCACTTGACATATCCCTCAATTTTGAATTTATAGCCCATGTCCAAGTAGGGAGGAGGAGGAGGAGAAAAATCCAGGAAGTAGACTGATTCAATGAGGCTTTACATAGTCAGTGCGGCAATACAGAAACAAAAGTCACCAAGGAGGTGGC